TTTACTTATACTTAAAAGAGTTATTTATTTATTTTTGTAATTATTGTTTACTAAATGAAATTAATATTAATAATATGATTTTCTTTTCATTAACAATTCTAAATATTGTTTTTTAATGTTATATATTTTTTAAAAATATTTTAATATAATAAATGCCTCAACTTTAGTTATCTCAATCAAAAATTGGCAGAACTCCACTCAGAGTCAGCTAGAGCTGTATCTTCTGATCTCTTCGGTATTTGCTTAGCGTATGCTAAATTCGACTCTCTTTTTTATGCAATCCGAGCTCAGCTTGAGTTTATTTTTTGCATGGTTTAGCAGAGACGTCCACGCGCCTTTTGGGACCCATAAATTTCACATTTGCAGTTAGCCTGGGGAGCTGCCTGTCTGTTGGTCTGTTCTACAAATATTTGACTTAGTTTCGCTTCATCTGGCGGCCCGCTGATGCTGTCTCTGCTGCGTGTCTGCCACGCATGCGCCATCTTTACAACGTCTCCCGGGGAGGCAAGAGCAGCAGCAGCAGCAGCAACGGCAGCAACGGCAGCAACGGCAGCAACGGCAGCAGCAGGAGTAGTAACTGAAGCACCAAAAAGCGCCGTTAACTCTGCACGTTGCTTATCTGTGAATGTGTTAGCCTTGGCTGGCTGCTTTTACTTCTGGCTTAGTTCGGCTTCTGGTGCAACTGCTTGCGCTTAATGCCAAATGCGTGAGCTGTGGGCCGTGCCGCAGTTTGATAGCCACGGTTCTGGCAGCAGCGGAAATGCAATTAACACTTTGGGCCATAATTGCGTGCCAAATGCATTTGGCTTGCACCCGACTCTGGCCGAAGTGAACGAGTTTCTGCTTTTGGCCAGAAAAACGAAGCCCCCTCAGGGAAACGCTACGGTTGCTGCGGCTCCTTCTCCTGCTTCTCCTGCTGCTGCTACTGCTGCATCTACTGCATTGCGCTTGTTTTGATTTGCTCTGCTCATTTGCAAGCAACGTGGTCATTAATCAGGCTGCCGCAATGCCTCCTTGCAGAAACTATTCGCCCATGAAAGTTACAAATTTCATGGCATATGTTCCCATAAGATATCCAACAGGCATAACATGCTCAATGCCAAACTGATTTGCATTGCAAAAATGTCCTCCAGCCACATATCTTATGTAATTTGCTTACGGACGGAATTCTTGATTTAATAGAAAGTCTCTGTTTCTGCTAGCGACTGTTATGCCATTGCTGTCTATGCCCTGCACTTTTTATGCTCTCGCCTGGGGAGTACTTTAATGAACTATATATTTTGGGTGATCGTAAAAAGAAATAGATTTAACACACAGCATTGGAAGAGCTGCAACAGACATTATAGACAGCTCGTATAAATGCATATGAGGTTAAGTTAGCAACCCAATAGGTTATTCTATATTAAAAGTTATTCCATCTGCTATATTATTATATAGAAGAATTATTGGAGCGGTTTAAAATGATGTGATTTATTTATTTATTGGTGTACAAATAAATCATGTTTTGTTTAATATTAATAAAGCATTAATAATTGAATTGATAACAACTTTTGAAAGAAATAAAATATNACGTGCGCCGTTTTTTCTCTCCTTGGCTGACAGGCGCAAATAATTAAACTTTTTTGTTTTTGCTTTTATTTTTATACCCTGAACCCATTGAAAATGGGAAATCAGGGTATAATGGTTTTGTGAAAAGTATGTAACAGGCAGAAGGAATCATCGCAGACCCCATAAAGTATATATATTCTTGATCAGGACGACGAGCTGAGTCGATATAGCCCTGTCCGTCTGTCCGTCCGTCCGTCCGTCCGTCCGTCCGTCCGTCCGTCCGTCCGTCCGTCCGTATGAGCAAAAGGATCTCAGAAGATATAAGAGCTAGAGAGCTGAAATTTGGCAAGCATACTCGTGTATACCATAGGCAGTACAAGTTTGCTTTATTTTTTCGATAACTCATCCGATAACTTTTTTATCGAGAATAATCGAAAAATCGACAATGTTTTTTCAGCTTATTTTGAACACTTTTAGACCTGGAGACTTCAAATTTGCGTTGTATATAAAGTTAATGGATACAAAGATTTTGTAATTTACAGATTTTGGATACCACGCCCCCTTCGCCCCCAATTTGTAAAAAACGCATTTCAAGTACTAGAGACTTGTGCTTTGAAATGTACACACATTTAAGCCATATGATTACGCTCTAAAAGTTTCATTAAGATCGTATGTCTACAAAAGAAATTATTCAACAAATAAATTCTCGTTATATTGCCCACACTGCAGTGCAGCCCAAGCGCAGCCGCTGCTAGCTGCGCAGTTTGCAAAGCGCGTGCTTATACGTGCATGTGTATGTATGTGTGCATAAAAGAAGTCCAGAATGATTAGAATATCAGTTTGGAGGGTTCAGGGTATCTCCTAGTCGAGCAGTCTCGACTGGAGCCTTCTTACTTGTTTTTTTTAATAAATTTGTTAATTTTTCTTAAATGTATATTTTGTTATATGTATAATTTACTTTATTTTAACATTTAACATTCCTACCCTATTACAGCGTATCTACTAGTCTATCATTTCAAGCCACTTCATTCAGTTTATTTTCCTCTTTCATTTCTCTAAGCATTTCGTTCTGATTAGTTGCAAAGCCAAATGCGTTTTCCCTCAACACACAACACACAACACCCAACACACTCGCTCAGCTGGAGTATCGCAGTTAATCACTTAATCTCAATTAAGACCAAATTGCTATTGTCCAGCATTTAAATGCAAATGCCAAATTAACGACTATTTGCCGAGTCTGGTAACCACCTTCCACCTTTCATGCACTTCGTCTCTCCTCTCTCTTCTGTCTGTGATCTCGTTTCAGGCGCAGTCCTGGCGGAGTGGAGCGACACATCAACAATTTGGTTTTTGTGTTGTCTGGGACAGTGTTTTTAATTTAACTGAAATTAATTGAGTAATTTGATGAGAAACGCAGAAAAACGCAGGCCATACAAATTTCACAGTGGGCCAAATGTGGCCAAAGCTGTCGAAGGGGAAGGTGGCGCGGCAGGAGGAGGCTGGCTGCTGATGAGCAGCTGAAGAGCGTGGAAATTGTGGCAGATGCAGATTGTCTGGCTGGCCATTGCTGCCAGGCAACAACAACAACAGCAAC